TAGGTTTTTGGCTGTTAAATGCAAAATTAAATGTAAATCCTCCCCAAAAAGTGTTGCTAAAACACTTAAAAACAACCTTTTTTCTATATTCCTTCAAATTTTGTTTTAACTGAAGCTCAGAAATTCATGTATAACAAAAAATAAAGTGTTAAAAATCAATCACAGTTTCAGCTGGTGTTATGACTTGGACACACGTTCATGTAAAAGTATTTGCCAATGCAATAAAACTAATTAATGGAGTAAATAAATGAGTGCATCATTCTTCATGACAAGAGCGATTGCTTCTGTTTTTATCGAGTTAAACGTAGCTGCATGGAGCTGCAAGATGTTCTGTGTGGGTATTAATGGTGAGCATTACACCCGGCTGTGTGTAAACTCTGCAGCACTGTGTCACCGGCGCTCACACTCGTGCGTCATCTGTGGGAGTACACCTATTTATTTTGCAGACTTGTAGAAAAGCTTGTAGATTAAACCACATGAGCTCATCAGTGGGTGGGAACCTCCTGAAAGAGACCCTGCAGAGGATTTTACACTCAGGAAAAGCACAGAAGATTCATCTGTGTAACTATTAAGCATAAACGACATGTTGAGTGTGTTGCTGTCGGGAGGATTATTGGAGGGCGTTAAAACACATAACTGATTTCACAGAGATCTGGTGAATGACTCGGGTGGTTTCTGTGCATGTTTGTTCCAGTTAAAGCTCTCAGCAGCTACTGATTTAAGCAAGAGAATCAACTCTTTATGTGAGAAAAATGATCTACAGATCTGTGCGATAGAGCATCACTAAGATCAGGCACATTCTCCTCCATCCATTCTGCACCGCAACGTACAATAAGGTTGCTAAAATAAAATAAAAAAAAACATATGCTCCGTATTTTCAGTTTCTCTGCTCCCCATCACACCCATCAGCCAAAAAAGACGATGTGTTAAGCCGCTGTCTCTCGGGTTGATCTGAGGCTCTGCGAGTAATCTCGTCAACAGATCAGAGACGCAGGGACTGAGCACAAACCGGGCCTCCACCATCCACAGCCCTAATGGGATTGGCCGCCATGACTAGATGTGCTGCTGTGATTAGCCTGCTTGGAAGCGTTCGGGGATTTAGACCACAAGCGCCCTGCCCCGGGCAATTAGTACTACATGAGGAGTGCAGGAGTGACGCCAGAGCAATAATCAGTATTTCAGGGACAAAAGTGGACTCTGATGCGAGGCAGGATAATAGAGGAAGTGCACTTTGGTTTTTTGGTTTTTTTTAATGCATTGATTGTAGGATACAGTGTGTGAGAGTAATAAGTAACAATTGGAGCTTTTTTTTTTTTTTTCATGGTTAGGAGTATTTATCCCGTCATGGGATTTAACAATATTTTCACTTTTTAAGACAGGAAGGAGATGTTTTATGAATGGATGTGGGATCCTGTGTGAAACCTCCTTTCTTTCTGTTTTCACCATCATTCACGTGTCACACTTTTTCCTTTACAGAGTTCCCAGTCTGTCAATCCTTTCAGCTGCCTGCTGAGCCTATTTGACCCTGACGTCACTAAACTGGATCTCTGACTGTCTGGCTGGCTGAAGGACAGACCCAAACTTGTCATAAACCTACAATAGAACCCACAGTGGATGTTTTAAATAAATGCAAAGCATGCAGACTTTAGAAAAGGCTTTTCTAGAAATTAGTTTTTTTAGTTAAGCCTGAGCAGCTGTAGTCGGATCTTTATGAGATATTATGTGATTAAAAAAGGGACTTGCAGTGGGGGCTGCTGTCTGTGCAGCTTCATATGACTCCAACACTGAAGCCTGATGAACACACATTAAACTGCTGCTGTAGGTGAACACAGCAAACAAACACACCTGTAATCGCCCCATTTGGCAGCTGTGCAGTGTTTTCCTGTGATCACCAAGACACATTAAGCCATTGCAAGAACGAGGACACCAATTAAAGTAATTATTGTAATGAATAGCAGACATTTCTGTGTCAACATGTTTGTCACCACATAAGCCACAGGTGGAATCAATTCATCTCCACATGTTGAAGCTCCAGAGAGCGCTGGTTGTGGCAGCAGGGTGTTGAGGAATATTGACACAGTGACGAGCTACTGCAGCATCAGCACTTCATCTCCTGTGTTGATATTAATGACAAAAAAAGGAGGTTTCAAAGTAAATTTGTAGCACGTAAATGCTGACAAATTCAGTGTCATACCTCATTTTATTTACATTTTTTTAGTAATTACACATACATTGTGTAAAAAATAATATTAACTAAAACTAACAAAATACAAAATAATATACATAAAATATAATTATAAAAGCAAAGCTTGCTTATAGGGGATCCAAGGAATCCTTTGATTTGTTGGGTTTTTATGTGAATTTTTGTAAATTATTTAAAAATTACAAAGGCAATCTCCAAAATCAAAAATACTGGAGGGTCTTAGCCTTACGTATTCATTAGTCAAATTAATATACATTCAAAAAAAAAAAAAAGAATTGTAGGGTCTCATCATCACTGTATTTACATCTTTATAATTAAAGGTACTGTAGGGTCTTAATATTTAATGAAACTGTAGGGTCTTAGCATTGTATTTAAATTAGTCAGGCTAATCTCTATACTATAGGATTGTAGTCTTATATTTTAAATTAGTCAGATTAATCTCCATAAATAATAATACTGTAGGTTCCAGAACTTTTTTTGTCAGGTTAATCTCCATAATTAACAAAACTGTAGGGTCTTAGAATTGTATTTAAATTTGTCAGGCTAATCTTCATATTTAATTCCACTGTAGTATCTTAACTTTATATTTTATTTGTCAGATTATTCTCGACAATTAATAGTACTGTACGATTTTAATAGTTAATTCTACTGTTGGGTTGTCGCCTTATATGTAAATTAGTCAGTTTATCTCTATAATAATTAAAACTGTATGGGCTTAGCTTTATATTGAAATCAGTCAGGTTTTTCCCCACATCTAAAAAATACTGTATGGTCTTAGCATTATAATAAACTTTGTCAAGTTAATCTCCATAACTAATCATACTGTAGGGGCTTAGCTTTATATTTTAATTAATAAGTTTAATCCCTATAATTAATAATACTGTACAATCTTTGCCTCAATATGCATTATTTTTAGTTAAAGCAATGTTTTTTTTAAGCCTTCATATATAGTTACTCAACTAAATCCACACCATCAATCACACAGTAGGCTCTTCATATTAATATTTAAACTCATTAGAGTAAATCATAACACCAATGATATTTTATTTCATCATTGAAAGTTGCTTTAACAGTTGATTTAAATGTGCTTTAAAAGTAACGGTGCTTTCACTTACCTTGACATAGATGTACTATTGACCTTATCTGTCTCATTGTAGAAACAACATGAACACATCTTGCCCTGCTAAGACTTTTAATTTTTCAAAACAAAATTAGTAAAATTCCTTTATATTTGTCTTTATCAAGCACTGATGCAGCTGCCAAGGTCGGAGCTGAGCTGAATGTTTGCAGGCAACATGTGACACACATGAAACTAAACATATGTTATTACTATTATTATTATTATTATCTACTGATCCTATGACATGAAATAAAAAAAGTCATGTGAAGCTCAACTTCAAGATGAGTAAAACTCTAAAGTGGAGTCTCTTCAAAAGGTTTCAGCACTGCTGTTAATACTGTGTTAAGTGCTTCAGTTTCTTAAAGCTTCTTATGAAATGAGATAATTTATGACAAGCACATTTTTCAGCTGTGGAGCTCTTTCCTCAAATAAAGTGCTTTGAATTATTTTTAACATGCAGTAACCAGAGTTTTTTTTTTTTTTTTTTTTTAAATCCCAAACACACTTTAATGCAATAAATACAAAAATCTACAACTGCAGGATGATAAATCACTTTCCCTTTTTAGAACTTAGCAAACTTGAACCAACCCACAGGTATTTGTTGTCTTGTAATGCATTTCTTAGGCTAAAACATTCAGCAGGAACTTTCCCTCTGACTCAATTAGTCACCTCATATACAGTATCTCAGTTTAAGCCCTCCAACACGCAGGGCAGGAACGTCATCGTCCTAAAGAAAAGGCCCACTGACCTCCACCCATCAACCCTGACGTGTTCACAGGTGGAATCCTGCAGCAGCAGCAGCAGCACCAACATCTCAGCCCTGCTTCAAAAACATCTCCTCCAACATGAGTGTTTTTCAGACAGTTTCGATGTATTTCGAACCCACTTGGAACTGATATGCATTATGCAACTTTAGACTAACATTTAGGTCATGTTATCTATGAGACCCCTCTAAACAGCACAGCGCAGTGACAGTTGCTTTATTTAGCAGGAACCACACCACCTGGGATTTAACCATCTTAACTCTAAGAAGTTTACAGGACCTTAATGCCTCCCTCCCTGCTTTGTCCATGTGACTGACACTGAAGTCAAGAGTCCAACAGGTGGGAAATACAGTATGGACTCCAACGCCATACATTTATTTAAATGTCTTCCCTGAGTTTGCTTCACAGTTGAAGAGTCAGAGAAATGTATATTCTATCAGTATACACTCCCCCTAAATTGTATATTACCCATAGAACCCTGTAAGTCTGTATATTGACTCCAAATCAAATCAGTTCATTCAAGGTATAAAATCAGTGGACATTAATTACTCTCGCTGTCTATGTCACTGTGTTTATTTTCTCTTTTTCTTTACATCATTCACTATTGCTCTCATTAGACTAATTGGATTGGTTGGCCAATCAGGAAGAGGCAACCTCCTAAGTCAGGGTTTAAGCACAAGGAATTAAAGGGTGGATCTTGCTGGCCAGAGCTGCTGAATTGATCTGAGCCTTGCGAGGTCCCCATCTAATCAAACAAGGCCAGGAAGGCTCAAGCACCTCCCTCCCAATCCCCTTCCGCTCGGAAATCGCCTTTCAGCACGATTAGTGCAGTACCCAGATTCTCTGCTGCTACTCACAGAGAACCGTCAAAATTTCTATCCTTGAGGATCTTGAGCTTGCGGAGGAAGAAAGCATGGGTGCAGGAGCGAGCGCCGAGGACAAAAAGTCAAAGGAGTTGGAAAAACAACTCCAAGAGGATGCTGATAAGGAGTCTAAAACGGTCAAGCTATTACTGCTTGGTAAGTGGCCTCAGAATTAGTTTTGTTGCACCAAGTTTTTGCCTCAGAGTGCCGATGCTGGAAAGTTCTCAGGCTGACAGGTTTTTACCTTCAAAATGTTCAGCACAAACTAACCTTGAAGTTTCTTATTTCTGACAGAACAAAGTTTCTGTGGAGGTTCTGGTCTGCAGAGTAGATCACTGATCTGACAGTGAGCTGAGAGTCAACAGGAACGAGTGAATAGTAAAAATGCACAGGTGGAAAACAGTGTTTTAGGGAAATGTCTCAGTTTGTTTGTTTTAACGATGCTTGAAAAGTTAACAACTGGTTCAAGATAAACTTAATTAAACTTATTTTCTTACGATTCATGACCAGAAATGTAAAAATGAAAACACCTGTAACCAGTAGGTAAAGACAGGTGTCTTGCTCTGAGTTTGTTGTCTGGTTTTCTGTGTATTTAATTCAATCTTGGATACGAGCCATCTGAGGTGGCATTAAACTGCTCCGCAAATCTGTTTACTGCTGTCTTAGATGGAGGATGCAGTATGCTCAGTGGATTTACAGGCCGTGCAGACAATTTGTTTCTGGATAAAAACCTAATATTAGTTTATTAAAAAGTGATGAAGACTGCTGAAGCTTATGCGTTACTCAGAGTTAAACTGCAGAGAGAAATAAGACAGATGAGAGAGCAGGTTGAGCATTTACTCCACTTCACTTAAATGAAGCTCAAAAAGAAGAGAAAGAATTTGCAAAAACTTAAAAGACAGATTTAAAATGTAGAGCACTGAAAATAATAACTTCCATGACTAGAAAATACAGTAAAAACTAAACTTTTGCAAAATATTTACATGTTCACTCCTTGTGCACGGAGTCAATGCTGCACAGAGCTGAGCTTGTTCACCTGGAGAATATGTTTTTACCTTTATGTGGAGTTTTTCTCGAGAATTTGCAGAAATTGCTCAGTGACTGCACACATGTAAACACCATCGACAGTTTCTACATATTTAACGGACATGCTGAATTTGAACAAGCGTGAAGCGATGGTAAAACGCACCTAATAACATAACATCTTGAATAACATTAAGAAATGACTTTTCAATTCTAATGGAAGGACGTTGGTGCTTAAAAGATCACAGCCTGTGGTCTAAATGAATCACAGCCCAGCAGTGATATGTCAATCCGATTAGCTAACTGGTTTAACGCAGATCCACTTGCTGAGGTCTTTGTTGACCCTCCACTCGCACATAATTTATAAAATGTGTTTTGTTAGTTATAACGTTAGAACGTGTATTTCACAGTATCATGCACTGTGACTGTGATGAATACCAAAAAGACAAAGTAAAACACAGAAAAATGTTCAAAAAAATAAAAATATATGTACATAAAAATGCTCGATTAATGCTGATTTGATGTAAAACTTTGCTTGTATGACACCAGTGCTGTTACACGAGTGATAAAAGTCTATGTTCATTAGCTGGACAGAGGAGAAGCTTCTCCTGCAGCCTTCTGTGTCACATAAGACAGTCAGAACAGAATCAGTGAAAAACAAGAAGAGAGCCATCTTGTGGGCTCTGAGGGACATTGTGAAAAGAGACAGAAAGCTCTGCAGGTGCAGGTGCACTAATCAGTGAAATGAACACTGGTGATGTTTTAGACGCTGCTATAAACCTCAGCACTTACTGAATACTACATGAAAACAAAATTTGCAAAGACGTCTCCTCCTTCGAGAAAATAAACCAAAGAAGCCTGAAAGTTGTTTCTTACAGGGGACTTTAAAACTGTAATAATCCATCTTTTTCTCATTTAAAGCTCTATGAAATGAAATCAACTCCCAAGAACAACAAAAATACAGACCTTAAATGCTGTCAGAGTGCATTAATTGAGACGGTTTAAGGAATATTTCTCTACAGTTTGCATATTACAAATGGGGGAAAAAGCTTTTGTCTGCAAAATCTGCATAATTTTCCTTCAAAACACTTTCATAAATTTGCATTTCTTCCTTTATGTGTCTGTAATATCTTCTGCACATCACTGCAAGGCCTAAAGTCACATTTGTAAGCGAGCATGAGGTGAAATAATGACTCAGAGAAGGGATAAAGACAGTCCTCATTAAATCTGTTCAGTCTTAATACTGTCACTGTTCTGCACTATCTCGTCATAAATTAGCAAAACAAGCTTGTTATTGACTTACTAATGACTGCCAGTGGGAGAAAGCCAATGCTCCCGCCCTGTGAGGGCAGGATGAGCCCACATGAGCGAAGGCTTGAAGCAGTAAGTCTGTGGATGGAGCTTAATGTGGCTGCAGTGAGAGCAGGACAGTCAGCTTTGGTGACTCTGTGATGCGATAAACTCCTTCTGGCCAGAGTTAGCTTACAGCGCTGCAGAGAGCCTGATCTCCCCACACAGGCTTTTCTTCAGCCACTGCATCCAATTCTGTCGCCTGAACTGTGCATATATGCCCAACACACATTATGCATGCATGTACAATGGTCAGACATACTGCTGGTGTCCAGTCTGCTTAGTCCATTCACACAGTGTCAGTTTGTTCTGAAAACACACAGGGGCCTCTATCTGTTTGTTATGACGTCCAAAGTGAACCAAAAATTACTGAAGACTCATCAAAGAAGTGTTTTTATGGCTTAACACGAAAAACATCTAAGAGCTATGTGTTCATGTTCTAAGGAGCTTATGTTCCTGTAAATGGTGCCTTCGGCTTGTTTAGTTCCACATGAAACTGAAAACCAGAAGTTATGATCACCACAGAGCAGCTGCAATGGGCTTATTAACAGACACAGATTCAGACGTTACAGTCTGTCCACTCAACTGATACGCACAACTCAACGTTGTCTGGCTGTGCAGCTTCTAACCAACCTTCAACTGCAGTTTTATTTACTGTTTATTTAGTGTTTATGCTTTGTCAGTTTGATCTTCTGCCCTGCAAATGCAATAGTCCTTCTGTGTGTTTTCATGTTTATGACTTAATTTTACATCTTTACTTGCATGTATCATAGTTTAATTTGGCCAAGACCACCAAACCACCCCTCAGCTCATACTTCAGTTCACATCGACGTGTTTAGAGACTGATTACAGCGTTGGGCAGCCATGTCAGATATGAGTCTTTGAGTCTTCTAGCTGCCCAGACCAATTGTGAATGACTTTTCCCTTTGTAATGAAAGCAGATCCAAAATGTCCACATGGACAAACACAAATCTGGGTCAAAGGAAATTCCTACTTTCTATTTGGCCAAACTGCTCCTTTAAAGTAACTGCACCATCAAAGTACATTCTTTAGCTGTTTATGACCTAAAGTATGTGTTTGCTAAGAGGAGAGAAAATCCCAGAAGTTGCAGTTTTAGCACTAACGTCTGCCTTCTCTTCCAGGTGCTGGTGAGTCAGGGAAGAGCACCATTGTAAAGCAAATGAAGTAAGTATTAAAACAGGCGATGGAAACAGTTTGTGTGTCAGCAGCAAGCAGTGCGCCGTTAAGTTTTTTTAATCTCATTGGTCAGGCCTGCAGCCTTTGGGCCAAAGCTCCACCATCTCTGTCTGTTTGACTTGCAGCGAAGCTCTTTACAAAAGGTCAACAGGGCAAACATCCGCTTACCGATGTGTCAGCACTTGTTTTGTGCAGTTAGTTAAACTCTGGCAGGGAGAGCAGAGTGAGGTCAGAAAGCCTCCACAGGGTGGCACTGTGAGCACTAGATCAGCTACACATCCACACTGTAGGAACTCCTGAACAAAACGTGGTTATTCAAATTATCCACCAGCTCAGTAGAGCAAAGAATTAATGTTTGAAAAGTTTGCCAGCGCTTTTTCCTGAACTTAAACTGTTTCCCCTCCTCTGTTCTACTTTACACAGGATTCTGCATCAAGGTGGTTACACGAAAGAGGAGCAATTGGAGTTTAGAGCGATCATCTACGGCAACATCCTGCAGTCTGCTCTGGCTATCATCAGAGGCATGGAGATGCTTGGCATTGATTTTGGCGCACCCTCTGCACAGGTCTCAAATTGCACTCAAAAGACGAGCACCAGACTCGATTAACTCGCTCAGTTCATTGTCACTGACTTAAACCCATACTATAAATAGTGCTGTGTCAGAGCTAATGGATCTTTGTTCTTGTGGCCATGAAACCACAGGAGGATGCACAGAAGCTGCAGAACTTGTCGGACTCCATTGAAGAAGGCACGATGCCCACTGAGCTGGCCGATGTCATCAAGAAGCTGTGGAAGGACTCTGGTGTGCAGGCCGGCTTCGAGAGAGCTGCTGAGTACCAGCTCAACGACTCTGCTGGATAGTGAGTCCACGGCTTCTCCTGCACCAGTTTTAGTGGGTTTGCATGTTAAACTGAAGACGGTTTCATATGTGGGGGCTAACTGTGTTGCTGTTTGTTCTGACATCACCAGCTACCTCGGAGAAATGGACCGAATCTGCAAGCCAGACTATCTCCCCACTGAGCAGGATGTGCTGCGATCTCGAGTCAAAACAACTGGTATCATTGAAGAACAGTTCTCCTGCAAAGAGTTGCACTTCAGGTGAGTGACAGAGGAAGTGAATAAACCTCACAGCACTGTTGTAATCTGAGCTCCTACTGACATTGTCTCTGGCTCTCTGTGGTGAACAGGATGTTCGACGTGGGCGGCCAGAGGTCAGAGAGAAAGAAGTGGATCCATTGTTTCGAGGGTGTGACCTGCATCATCTTCTGCGGAGCCCTCAGCGCATACGACATGGTGCTGGTAGAGGACGACGAAGTGGTGAGTTGAGACTCCAACAATCTGATGGTGACACATTCAAAATCAAAAACTCGGCAGTGAGTAACTCTCAGCGTTTGTTTTCAGAACCGCATGCACGAGTCCCTCCATCTATTCAACAGTATCTGCAACCACAGATTCTTTGCACTGACCTCCATCGTGCTTTTCCTCAACAAGAAGGATCTCTTCGAAGAGAAGATCAAGAAAGTCCATCTGAGTATCTGCTTCCCAGATTACGATGGTAAGAAAAGGTGTTTTAAAGCTTCAGAGTTAAACCTGCTGCACAGTATGTTTGCTGCTGCAGTAGAATCAAGCAGAAGGCCAAAACCTGTCGAGCATTTGTGGAGAGTAGATCCCACATCCCAGCAGAGCATGTTCAGGTTTAGATGAATCTGAAACCAGACTAAGAGGTACATAGCACAACAGAAACAAAGACTTGTGACCCGAACTGCTCAGATTCAATGAACAAAGTCAGAAATCATGAGTGTAACAATGCAGACAGTGTCAGTATTCCCTCAATTAAACTATGTGATGCTATTTTAAAACAATAATCCACTTATATCACAGACAGACAAGTGTAAAATCTGTCTTTTATTTTTTTTAAAATTAGAAGTCTCCCATGAATTTGCTCCAATCTTCTCATTCTCAATCTCTTTTAGGCCCCAACACGTACGATGACGCCAGCAACTACATCAAGACACAGTTCTTGGACCTGAACATGAAGAAGGGTGTGAAAGAAATCTACTCCCACTTGACCTGTGCCACAGACACAAAGAACGTCGAGATTGTGTTCAACGCTGTGACAGACATCATCATAAAAGAGAACCTTAAAGATTGCGGTCTGTTCTAAGCAGCTCCGGAGTGAAAAGAGGTGAGCGGCACCACTTTGTTGATACGGAGTAATGGGGTCCAGATGAGGCAGACCCCTGCCAATTCAATTTAACCCTCATGCAGCAAATCATATCTGGCCATCCGGCGTTGCCAAGCAACAACATCTGGCCATAACATGAGCGAACACAAACTGAGACGACACGGTTTGGACCCTTTGGGACTGCTGAGGATGAGCGAGATAATGAGACACATGAAGTAATCCCTGCAGTGACCTGTGATTAAAATGGGCTCCTCCTAAAGATGTCGCTCATTTAGAAATAGACTGCACACAGTATCCACGCATGCTGCAAAATGTTTACCTTAAAGTCAAATTTTATGCATAATTTAATGATTATTTCAACATTTTTTAAACTTACTTCTCACTCTCTCCACTTTGCAGAAGTTCCTGTCCAACCTTAACCCCTCACATACATTGGCATTAACTAAGAAGCGTACTGATGGAGCACAGAGGATCCTCAGATTGCTGTGTTCATGCCATCGCTTTCATGCCAAGTCCTGGTCCTTGACTGCTCCTCGCTCCTCACCACCTCCAACGGTACATCCCTGCAACACAGTGCACATCCAGCTGCGTTGAAACAACTCTCAAAGTCACCGTGTCGACATTGTGGACATACAGCTTTCTGCAGAAGTCTTCAGTTGTTGTTTTTTTTTTTTCTAAAACTTCAGTATTTGTATCACACCTACAGCTGCTGGTTTGAAGGTATGAAGATGAAAATAGCTGCTCATTCGATCCTCATCGCTTCCATTTGACTACTGTGTCGTGAGTTATATTTACTATTAAAAGCCAAGCTCTGTAAAATTAATAAAAACAAAAAAAAATTGGGGAAAATATTAATATTTTGAATAGCAACATTGCAACCTTGTTTTTGTTTTTGAGTAGTCTCTGTGGTCTTGGTATTTAAACTGTAAAAAGTTGCTGAGCAAATATCTCAGATATTCCCAGTGCTTGCAGTGTATCCAGATTACAAACCAAATTGTACATGTATCTAATCTAAATAGCGTTAATGTATTCAATTCACTTAACATTTTAATGTGATGAATAAATTTCAGAACATGGAACATGGTAGAGAAACTTTGTACATAAGAGTAGATAATTCATTATATTTTGAAAGATAAAACTATATGGAGATATACGAGAGATGGAAACACTAGAGGGTTGATGCTTTATTATGAACAGGGAATGAAAATCTACTGAGTTTGTCCTTTCTTATGAAATGTAGCGGCATGAAATAAAGATGCATTAACTTCACTTGTGTACCGTGTCTTTGCTGCTGCTTTACACGTTCTCTGCGCTGTCGGAGGGGAAACGGTCGCGTGTGGAAGTTCATTAACAGGAAACCAAATTAAGATTGTAATTATTCTCCAAGCAGACATTTGTTGTAACATTGTGTAGGGACGGATTCATGAGAAGGCAAATGAGCGAAATCAAGAGTCTAACAGTGTCTGTGGTGATGATATTGCTGAATATGATGGAGCTATAATGCTTTCAATGTGTTCCAAACCACCAACAAACTCTAAGTTCTGAATGTTAAATGTGTTTCTGCTTTAAATATCAGCTTTTCCATCCACCTGTTAGAATTTGTGAGAAGATGCAGCACTACCTTTACAGGTACGTATGCAGCTGAACCTCGAAGGCTTTTTCAGCAGGAAGTCTCCTTTTAGAAATCAAAGCACAGATTCTGTTTAACCTTCTGAACCTCAAGCAGTTTATGGACGATTTTCCTCACTGTGGGCTCAATTGTCAGGCCTGCACCTCTATGGAAACAGCACAATCATGGCTACAAGCAGAGAGAACTCAAACATGTCTTTTGTGCAGTCTCACACAGTTATAATGCCATAGAAAATAATACGAAAAATACGAAATTCAACTTGTTTGATTACACATTGTCCACAGGGGTTCCCAATATTGGAAAAAATAATAGTGACCCCACATACTATAGATTTGTAACCATGTATATGTTTGGTTCACTTGAAAACTCTGAATTTTCATCACATCAGAGCTGGTCGTAACTTTTGAATGGGCCATGTAGAAAATGATGATTTTAATGAAATATCACGATTTTAAGCTCAGTTCCACTTAATTTTCCATGACATGACACATGCGATTAGTTCAAGGACTGTCAAAAAGTTGAAAATCTGAAGATTGTTGCTTGGTAATTATTACGATAAACAGTTTTCTGGTTTTGGGGTTCAGGGGGTTAAACAGCTCCAGAAAAATCTTAGCAGAAATGTAAAGATGTCAACAAATTCTAAGAAACAAACAAAACCCTGACGTGATTCATCATATTCCGGTGTGTCAAAGGCCTCCACTGTCGCCCCAAAACTACTAAAAACACTTCAATGATTTTTTAATGATGAGCATTCTAAATTATTTAGCTTTTTTTGGAAACAAAACTGTTTTTGTTTTTCTGAATATTAATGTCTTCAGCAGGAAAAATGTCGCTGAATGCTGTAGACAGAGCGGAAAAGTCTGTAGGTATTGACAGATGAACTAAAATACGATCAATCCTTTTGTGAAATTTGTCCACAATGGAAAAATACAGACTATTGCCGACCGTACCCTGTAAACTGAATGTGCAAAAAGAAAGAATAGGTTCAGGTAAGAATCCGTCCCTGTAGCTGTCATATTGATGGATTACAGTTTACATTGTGGTTGTAGTCTTTTTTTTTTTGTGCTTGTGTGTGCAGCAGCTGGAACAGTGGTCCCTCTGCTCCAGCATACAGATGTGCCGCTGAAAAACAGTTTCCCATCTGAATGACCTCCTTCTCTGCACTGTTTAGGTGAGACGCTGCCTTCGTGGTTCTTCAAAGAGGGTAACATCTGATTAGTGTCTGGTTCAGTTTTTTTTTTAAAACAGAGGAACAGTCAGACATCTTTGTGCTATCATTTAATGAGCCAGTACAACTCCTCAAATATGTAAAATCTGAACATTTTGGGGAACTCGGCTACCAGGGCTTCTCTGTGCAGGAAGTGACTGATCTAAGCTCACTGCAGAACCTAACAGCAACAGACTTCCTCAGAGTTATGTGAAGGCTACGGCCAAAGAACACAAATAAGGCCTGTGGATATATCAAACACTAATCCCACTTTTGTATATTTAAAATCTTTATGTTTCTCTACTAATATCCACAGGATTTAAAACTTACCCTGCAATAAAAAACAGATGCTACGTTGACCTCCAGTGATTGAATAATATTAGTCGTATTTAAAGTAAGATGAAAAAAATAAAAATAAAAATAAAAATACACAGAAAAATCGAAGATGTTGTTCAGGACAATGTGGTCGAGTTAAAATCAAAACTACGCAGACAGCATGTTGCTACCGAGTTCATCAGACTCTAACTAATCCCAGACCCAAACGGTTGCATTCTATTCTGCAAAACTGTCCTCTACATAAGTTATGGCATTCATACATCTAAAAGTGGAAATATTATGTAACTGCAACTAAAATTATAATAAAACATAACAAATATTCAATAAAAGCGATGTGATACAAACATACAGCTAAGAGAAAATGCAGCACGACAAAAGGGGTGTGAACAGAATTTACATTGTGGCTGTAAAACCGTGAGATGCAGCTGTGGATCTGATGAACAGGTGCTTCGTTTTGGTCCTCGTGCAGACGACAAGACTATAAAAGAGACGTCAGAACGGCTTCACCTGCCCGCAGAGATCTTAAATACGACACGACTCACAGTAATGATTTTCACAAGCCTCCCCGACTCACTTCCTCCCAGAGCGCTCAGCATAAAAAAAAATCTATTAAGACAAAAGTGATCATCGTTACAAGTCCCCAAATTTAGTGCAATTTTTTGTATGCACGCGGCCACCGGCTTAGTCCTTAGAAACACCTGCTTTCCACTTCGCTCTCTGCAGACAAAACACTCCAGAAGTCCTGAATCTTCTGAAACCTGCACGAAAAAGAAAAAATGATTAGTAATATAAATGGCTGTATGGGGAATAAAACAATATAAAACATGGCAAAAATATTATTTAAATGATTATAAACTGCTCTGTTTTTACAGACATGCTTTTTTTTTGGCTCTTTACACACCAGAAAATATCAAAATAATATATTTTATGTACAGCTTTTCTCAGTTTAAGCTATATATCTTAGCCTCTTCAATTTTATGCACACGGGAATCTTTTGTTCCTCCAGCCAACAGTGATCCATCCATCCATTATCTATACATCACTTAATCCTCACGAGGGTCGTGGGGGGCTGGAGTCTATCCCAGCTGACTCAGGGTGAAGGTAGGGGACACCCTGGACAGGTCACCAGTCTATCACAGGGCTACACTTAGAGACAGACTACCAAGCACACTCACATTCACACCTATGGACAATTTAGAATCACCAATTAACCTCAACATGTTTTTGGACTGTGGGAAGAACCCGGAGAGAACCCACGCTGCACGAGGAGAACATGCCAAACTCCACGCAGATGGTGAAAAAAAATTCAGCAACTATTCAGTTGAACTGGGTTGAACTGCTTTGCTGATGAGCAGTGGGCCAAAATCAAAATACCTGTCAGCAGTCTGACTGAGAGTTACAGAAAACACTCAAAGGCTCAAAGGTTTGCGCAACAATATATTGGTTTATGGGTCCCATCATGCTTGTTTTTTTTTGTTTTGTTTTGTTTTTTAAATTTTTCTGTTGAACCACAATTCAAAAGCAATGTCATGATTTTCATAAAAATGTTATTTATTTTTTTCTTTTGTCAATTTCAACTTATTTCAGTGACAGCTGTTTTTTTCCTTCTTTAATGGGAGGGTACGAATACATTTGAGGACGACTGTAGCTTCAAATGTCAGTGTGCAGGGAAAAAAAGTGGTCAAAACATAAATAAACAAATGAATAAAAATCTCTGAAAGTATTTGATATATTAAGCATAAATTTCACAGATACTCTTTTAAAAACATTGTAAATTATAATAAGAAAGTTTCAAGTGAATCAAAGCTGGTGGAGCAGAAGGCCACTGATGATTTGAGATGGAAAAGCCCCTAAAAGAAGTGACTCCTGTTTATGTAACGATCTAACATCCCCATCAGCGTCTCCATGTTGCTCCTCAGAGCAGCTGGAAGTCGGTGTGCTGACCTGGGAGGCAGCCGGAGCTTCAGTAGAGCCCGATCTCCCTCAGGTTGATCTTGATGATGACGTCGGTGACAGCGTCGAACACGAACTGCACATTCTTGGTGTCCGTGGCACAAGTGAAGTGAGTGTAGATCTCCTTGGTGTCCTTTCGTTTATTTAGGTCTTCAAACTGGCACTGGATGTAAGCTGCTGCCTCTTCATATGAGTGACCACCTGCAGAGGAAAAAAAGCACAGTTATGATAGAAAACCTAATGATCTTATTTAAGATGCATTCAACAGACTTTTTCCAAACCACAGGACATATTTGTTGTTCTTGGTTCCCTCTCCTGTGGATACATGGTTCTTTCAGCTCCTTTTTGTCAAAATCAAAAGTGGAAACTATTTTAAATGCAAACAGAGGCACTCCTCATCACTGATGTAGAAACATCTGCATTGATGAGAACAAACCCAGACACAAACCCTTCTCCAACCTATAAATAGATGTAACTCTCAGAATTCTTACACACATTTAACACCTTGAGTTGGACAGACTGACAGAAAAAAAAGTTCATTATTTAGAGTTTAAAGTGATGCTATGTTAGGCTGCTAAGTTTTATTAGCTTATAAACAAGCTTACTGTACGAGGACGGAGTTCACATGAGCTCAAGACAAAAACATTTGAATGATAAAAACATACATCATAACTCAAAGCTTATTTCATACAAACTACATCGTTAAAGCCGACTTTTTCTGCAGAAACTCAATCCCATATAAAATAAATAAAGAGCACGATTACACATTTCCAGGAAGTCGCTGCTCAGAGATAAATAAATGTTCCCTCTGATCATAACACGATTACACAACAAATCGCTTCGACTGGGATTTCTCTCACCAGAGTACTCGGGGTAGCAGATAGTGAGCGGACTCCTGCTGACCTTCTCCTCAAACAAGTCCTTCTTGTTGAGGAAGAGGATGATGGAGGTGAGCGTGAACCACTTGTTGTTGCAGATGGAGTCGAAAAGCTTCATGCTCTCGTGCATCCGGTTCTGAGGAAAGAGCAGACGAGAACTTGACCATATTAGATGGAGGATTTTTTTAAGGAAACATTTTGATGTAACACAGTGTGATTTCATTTAGCTGGGTCCAAAACCTGCAATTAACTCCATACTGGACCCAGAACAACATACGCAGGCCTGAAACAAAAGCTGCTGTAGTACAGAAAACTCTATGAGAGTCAAGAATTTGCATATGGATATATGCTGGTGGGCTGCAAGGTGGTGCAGTGGTTAGCACTGTTGCCTCACAGCAAGAAGGTCACAAGTTTGCGTCCCGGTGAGGACAGCCGGGATCTTTCTGTGTGGAGTCTGCATGTTCTCCCCATGCAGCGTAGGTTCTCTCCGGGTTCTCCGGCTTCCTCCCACAAGTCCAAAAACATGTTGAGGTTAATTGGTGATTCTAAATTGTCCGTAGGTGTGAATGTGAGTGTGCTTGGTTGTCTGTCTCTAAGTGTAGCCCTGTGATAGACTATAGATGAGTTGGCTGGGATAGGCTGCAGTCCTCTGGTGACCCTAGTGAGGATTAAGCGGTCTATAGATAATGGATGGATGGATATATGCTGGTTTTTGATTTTACAGTAAAAGTTGCTAATTGCCTGATTTCCAGACACTAGATCCGTTTAGGCAGAGTATTTTAAGGGGAAAAAGGCTCATCTATGGGCAAAACATTCAATTTTTTTAGGATTCCAAACACTGGAAATTCTGCTCATGTTTGACGAGAATTTATCACACTACAGGATCTCATGGTTCAATAAAATGAGTTTTCAACGTTTCCAGGCTACCTGTTGCCATTTGGTACTTTATTGATTAGAGTAGTCATGGTCTATGTGTAACTTTGGTCACTGCATTGAAACTAGAGAACCTCTCAAATAACAATAATAATAATAAAAAACATGACCGAAAAATATTCTAACTTCAGTAAACATAATAATACTTGATACCTGATGCTGTCTGATACTGAATGAACTCAGAGGAAATAGTTCTAAACAGCTGAAAGCAACAAAGTAAAGATCAACGTCTGTTAATGTTTTTTAGTCTGTGTGTCTCATCTCCATTGACTAAAGCCACAAACTGTGTCTTTTGCAAAGCTGTTACACCATTCACTTGCACATAGATGCAGCAAAACCTTCAACTTCAACTTCAAATTTAGTATTTGTCCCTGAGGGGCGATTTGCAATGCAGCAGCTTACACAAGCGTTCACAATAAACAAACAATGAAAACAGTAAAAAACACAGATTAAAGGAAATGTTTGGTTTTTTTTTAGAGTAAAGAAACCCAGTAAAATCTGGACATATCAGTGAATGAATTTGACTCATCAGATCTACGAGGTGTGTCAGAAAAGTTCCAGGACTGGTGTCACTAAAGATATATTTCAAACCCAAAGTCGTGGTTGCTTCACCATGACAACAAGCCTGCTCACAATGCCCTGAGCATCCGACAGTTCCTAACTGAGCAGAACATCTCCGTGCTGGAGCAACCTCCCTACTCACCCCACCTGGCTCTGTGGGATTTTTTCCTCTTCCCCAAGCTCAAGGGGGTCATCAAGGGGACCCGTTTAGAAGACGTGGACAACATCAAGATGGCTGTGACGATGGAGCTGTGGAGGATCCCAGAAGAATCCTTCCAGGAGTTCATGGTGGTGTGGCAGAGAAGGCTGGGCAGTGTGTTAGACTCCAGGGGGATTACTTGGAAGGGGAAAACTAGTAGTTTGTAGTTTGGATTTGAAATATATCTTTTGTGACACCAGTCCTGAAACTTTTCTGACACACCTCGTAGATGCACTAAAACCTGGACATTTCAGTGAATGAATTCGACTTCTCAGATCTGGGGTGGCCAGTGAGGTTTCTTGGAGGCAGCACTGTGAGTACCAACAGCACTGTAACAAATCAGGCTAATAAAACTCTATTTTACACAGTTTGTAGAAGCTGAAGAGAAATGTCTTTGCCAACACTGACAAGCTGTAATTGTGTTTTGGCTCAGTGGCACAATAGAACACAGCAGGGCCTTTGTTAATGTGATTATTACGACTTGTGGCTTTCCTGCTACAACATGTCAAAACATCTGTTGTCAGAAAGGCTGCAGTGTTTCAACAGAAATCATCCAATATCAACTTTGATGTAAAAAAAAAAATTGAATCAAAACCACATCATGCATCATCACTCACCATCTCCTCATCCTCGGCCAGCACGAGGTCGTAGTCGCTGAGCGCTACACAGAAAATGATCGCCGTGACTCCCTCAAAACAGTGGATCCACTTCTTCCTCTCTGAGCGCTGACCTCCGACATCAAACATCCTGATGACAAACACGCACGGACAGATTTAGTAACTGCATGAATAAATATTTGTATTCCTATCAGTTTTAATGTCACTTTAATGTTAGTGTTTTATGGGGATCTTAAATCCAGGGCCAGAGCTCAAACACAAACACAAACACTCAGTGCATGCCGGTGACCTCGCTCTGTAATCTCATGTTTGTGTCTGCAGCCTCCGCCTCCACCTGAGGCCCTCTGAGGCAAACTGAATCTATACCGAGCTGCTCAACTGACACAGAAATGAAATGAAAGAACACTTTGTGCTTTGACACCGATTCAGTGATTGCACATTTCTAGATCCTGAGCATTTTTATGGGGTTACAAAGCCAGCTGGCCAGGGAGCTTAGAAACACAGGAGCTGGGCTAAATAATGTATCAGGCGATGTAATCACATTAACTGTAACAGAGGTGGGTCACCTCAGGCTGAATCCCAGCAGGTATATGTGAGGTATAAAAGAGGACTTCAGATCAGGATGTGCAGTTTGTCAAAGCAATATCATCAAGTCAAATCATCTGTGACAAAATGGAGGCGCAAATATAACATTATTTATAACTAGTGAGGCACGATATTAAAATTTCTGGCCGATACTGATATCCCATATTAAGATTTCTGATATTGCCGATAACCGATATTATCGATGTTGATGTTAAATTTTTGTTCACACCGAAAAATGAGTAACAGTAAGCACTGTGAGAACTATTCTAAAGAAGGCCATACCAAATTAGACCACGTAGTCTTCTTTATTACGTAACAAAAGTAAAACATATTAAAACATATTTAAGTCCAGGACCATTTAAGTAAAAACATCTGTGAAATAGCAGCAATATCAAATGTAGAGATGAAGGTGCTAATGCTGGACAATCATCGGTTTTTCACATTGGCTGAATTTGTTCATCGGACCAATACTGATATATGGGAAAAAACACTAATATCGGCCGATACCGATGTGGTCGCCGATATATTGTGCATCCCTATGTATAAAATGATGGGTGACTGAGACACATGTGCAGCGTAGTATTACCCAAGATGTAGTTACTTCAAAGTGATTTTTTGTTCTAGCTGCTGTCTTAAGCCAACCAGTTTCTGGACATTTTCTTGTTCCTGTCACATTGTTACTCACTGTGGTCTCATTTTTCACAGCAATATAAAGTCTTGTACCTCTATGGAGACAGCAAAGCCATGGTTAGAAGTAGAGGGACATTTCTGTGCCAGAAAAAAAATCTTCATACTACAAATATTTAATATTTTACTGATATTTTACTCTTCCATTTTTAATTTGTTTTCATATTTTGTTTTCTATCTGGTGAACGGTTTCGCCAAAAAGTCCCTGAATTTTTGGTCATGTGACCGTTGGCGCGTCTGATTCATTAATAAGTTTATTGTTGTACTGAGAAGTGCAGAAAATTAGGTTCTTCTCAGAATCTGTTGACTGCAAACACTTCGTTGTCGTCAAATCTTTCAATGAGGAATGTAGAATAAAGTCATTTTGGTTATGTATCACGACCTTGAGCTTAAATTTGGATAACAAGATCACACAAGATTAGTTTAAGGACCAATAAGGAAAAAGGAAAAACTGGGGGGAAAAAAACCCTGAAAATTCTTTATGTTTACATCTTCTGGCTCTGATAAATGGCGTCATTCTGGTGATATTTTTAAAGATAACATGCCTCTCGGCTTTAGAGAATTATATAATAGAACAACAAACTATTAAAGGAAAATAAATACTGTCCAACATTCATATCATAAAATGCTTGCATCATGTCACTTGTTATTCAATATAAAGGGATTCCTTCTTCCCACTACCGAGTCTAGAAAAGTCTGCAAGGTGTTCATAGTCGTCTATAGTTTTCTACTAACTTCTGGTTCAGAACTTATGCGTTAAGTCCATCGTGAAATCATCTAAATAAAAGCTGACTCATACAGTAAACAAGCACAGGATCCAACAGCCTGAGAAACTTAACAAGATGTTTTTAGTGGCACCAACCCGAGGCCATTCATGAGCAGATACAGCTGCTCTAGTGCAACTGCAGTTTTCTTCCGTTGGTGGAGCAGCATCAGAACTGAGAAGCCGAATAAACGGATGACCTTTGTTGTTGAGAGAAGGACGTTGCACGAACTTCTCATCATAATGGACGAGACTTTACATTTCCTGCTAATCAGACGGCAGAGTGTTTTCAGTTCTTTAACTCTGCTGTAGAAAGGAGTTTTGCAGAAAGACATTCCTGCCCACCGTAATAACGCTTTATTTCTCATATTAATTAAGCTAAATGAAGCCACAGTTGTCCTCAAAATGTATCCATACCCTCCCACTAAAGAAGGAAAAAAAAACTGCTAAAAAACAGCTGTCACTGAAATAAGGTGAAATTGACAAAAGTAATAATAAATAAAAATGTTGTGAAAATCATGACATTGCTTTTGAATTGTGGTTCAACAGAAACATATAGAAAAAACAAACAACAACAACAAAAAACAAGCAAACAAGCATGATGGGACCCGTGAACTAATATTTTGTTGAACAATCCTTTGAGCCAATCAAGTGATTTCTGTAACTCTCAATCAGACTTCTGCACCTGTTGGCAGGTCGTTTGGTTTCACTGCTCATCAGCAAAGTGCTCTCATTTGTCCGGGACAGTTTTGTTAGTTTTGTTTTGTTAAATTCAAAAGCAATGTCTAATTTCACTAAATTATAATATAGCAAATTTTTATTTATTATTACTTTTTTCAGTTTCCAGCTATTTGAGTGACGATTGTGAATTTTGCCTTTTCTTTAATGGAAGGCTATGAATACATTTGAGGACGACTGTAGTTAAAATTGTGATTTTTGTGTGTGTTTTGCGATATTTAAGTAGCTGCTGTCCATCTACTGACTTGAAGTAGAGATCTTTGAAAGTGAAGTGAGTTTCCACGATCCCGGTCGTCTTCACTCGTGTGCGCAAAACGTCCTGCTGAGTCGGGATGTAGTTGGGCTGGCAGATCCTGTCCAGGTCATTCAGGTAACTGAAGGGCAGAAAGAACAACAACAGCTAATGATTCATTCATCGTGGTTCAATTTATGTGTAGATGAGCCACAATAGAATTTACAGCAGCTCAAATGATGTTCCTCGTAGATGTTTGTTGTTTCTTCTATGAACATCATGTGGTAAAATAAAGTTATCTCGGGGGTTTCCAGACTATTAGTATAATACACAGCAGTGAAAGGTCTGCGAGATGCTTATGTCTGGTCATGTGGAGGCCTTGTTCTGCATGCACACATCTGAGGACGCCACAGAATGATACTAAATATGGGCTTATATTTTGGTGAATGATAAACACTGGCTCCTTGTGAGTTGAGTAAAAACAGACGAACTCCGCCGGTTCCTCTTGTCTGTGGACTGAAAGCACAGACGGCTCGGCTGTTTTCACAACAAAGACCACGTCCTTCACACAGAGCAACTTCTTCTTTTCTCACAAATGTGAAGAGAAGCAGAGAACCTTGAGCTTCATCCACGTCTGATTACGTGTCAGAACTATATTTAGCTCGCACCGCTTTGTGTGTATTCTCCACTTAGCTGCATCAGACGGTTTCGTTTAGTGGTCGACTCTCACGACAACCTGAAACCACTTCGTCAAATGATATATAAAAGGCTGTAAGTGGATAGAAACATCTTCCAGTTTCTCTCCCTTCACAGGAATGCGATCGGCTGTGCAACAAGCCGACACAGGACCTGGAAGGACAAGACGCATCTTGCCTTCTGTTTAGTTCCAGTGGAAATGTTACAGACATGAAGGAGGAAAACTGCTCTCAAAGTTAAGTCGTCCACAGTGTGATAATAAAAACAAGATGGCAAAACAGCTCTTGAAAAATGCTTATTATTTTCTAAGATGTAATATGATCCTATCAAATTAACGTTATTATCCTACAAGTGAAAGAAAAGGGGCCTGATGCCGACCAATCACGATGGAGGAGCTGGAAGGTGGAATTGCATTTTTTATTTAAAAAAAAAAAAAGAGCAAAATGTTCTCAATCTCAAGCAATCTTGGCTGATTTAAAATAAATAAATAAAATTATCTTGTCCCATTTTTACTCACATATTTCACAATACAAAGTTCTGAACCTCTATGAAAACAGCAGAATAATGGTTAGAAGTATGTGAAGTATATGGTTGTGCAGTATGAAACCGTTTTACTTCCATAAATGTTTTTGTTTTTTTTTAACTGTTGAATTTCATCATAATTAATTAAAATGACAATTTTTTTTTTAAGTGAAAGAACCTGAAATCAGCATGGACAGCCCTTTTACAAGTGATCACAGGTGTTCGGGAAATATAGAATATAACAATATAGATAGTTCACTAGTTTGTCTCCACGTTTGTCTCTTATCTGTTTTGTATAAACACAACCTGCTGTTCAACCAGAGTCACAGAATTTATGTCACTTCACTGTTGATCACAGCCAAGTCACTAATGGCTTCTCATTTGTGACAACGAGTGCAGAATTTTTTTTAATTATTTTTTTTACAGCATCTTGTTTGGTGAGTTTTAACCTTTTAAGACCCGAGCTCTTGTTTGATATGCATGTTGTATTTCTCTTTGCTATTTGATCAGATCAAAAATTTTAAAAAAGTATATAAAGAAAATAAAAATATACTGAAAAAAATCTATTAAAATATTTTTCAAAAATAAAACAAAAAATTATCTAACAATCAATGAATAATAATAATAATAATAATAATAATAATAATAATAATAATAAAAATAATAAAAATAATAATAATAAATCATTTTTAAAAATTACAATTCAAAAATTAACTTCTGTGGTAAAATAACCCAAAATGTAATGTTGACGCATGTGGACACCAGGTCTTACAGGGTTAAATGAGACTTGTAAAATAAAAATCTCAAAATTTTAAGCTTAGATTTGGTTTATTTTTGTAACTGAACCAAACATCTGCAGACTCTTTTTGATTTCACAGTTTTGTTTCTGCTCTAAATGGTGTCAAAGGCCAACATGCCTTTCAAGGGGTTCAAAGGGTTAAAATAGCTGCTAAATTGATTAACAGTCTAACTACTGTTACTGTAGAGTTTACCACCACCACTGATAAATTGTTAAACTATTTTAAGACACTGAATGAAGGCTGAACACCAGATACAATGGTTTTTGGGGGGTAAACACTACCCATAAATCACTGAGCCAAAGACCGTAGTCACTAATAAATCAAATGTTGAATAAGCCTGTTGTTGATCATTCGTAAGTCTGTGGTGCTTTGTACTTTATACACAAGTGACAAGTGATTACTCACTACGCGGCGGAGTCATTGAGCTGATATTCTCGTGATCGATCGAAACAGGCCTGAACTCCACCGTCGTTCCACAGCCTCCGAATCACACTGGTCAGGTCTGCAGACAACACCCCCTCCTCGGCCGAGCTCGCCAGGGCAAACAGCTGGCGAGCATCGTCCTAGCAACAAAATCAATAACTGCTGACATTGTAAAATTGTTTCCGTGGCGACTCACATCACAAACGAGATTGTGGCCCTTTTGAATTTTATGTTGTGGAGTCAGCTTACCGCTCGTGCAGCATCCCCGAAGTCTATCTTTAACTGGCCCATGGCTCTGATGATGGCCATGATGGACTGGATGGTGTTGCTGTACACCACCACTTTGTACTGCTTGCATTCTTCTTCTGAGTAGCCATCCTCATGAATGATTCTGACACAAAATCCAAACAGGCTTTAAGAGTTCACATAAATATTTGACAGGGTGAACAGTGGCTTTAACAAAAGTGGGGCAAATTACACATTTGGAAAATTTCATGCAAGACTGTCATTAGTGCTGGAATTTGAGCTTCAGTGAGCATACAGCATGCCTAATGTGGGAACCGGGGGACTCTATTCAGGTCCTGCCAGGCTACAACTGGCCTCTGTGGCCATTGTTTAACATGTTACGCAAAAAGGGGGCTTCCTCCTCTGGTTGAGCAGAGTGTAATGAGGCTCCTACTTTGCTTCTACAGCATTTCCACAAATATGAACTCAACAGGGCTGTGGCTAAAAGAGGAAGTATGATTGCTTACAGAAATAGCATAATGAGTTCTCACAGAAAGTAGGAGTATATTATGAGGACTGTTCACAATTTGGAAGTTTTCCCCTTTTATTGCTTTTCAAAATTGAATCATTGGCAATTTAATTTGGTTTTGTTGACAAAAAAAAGAAAATTACGAAAAAGGATTCTTTCAAGTCAAAATGAAACCTGATTTCTAAGAAGTAATGTAAGAAACAAAACAACTAATTTATGAAATGTGAAATACATGATTGTGTAAGTTTTCACCCCCTTTAAAGTCCATCCATTATCTATACACCACTTAATCCTCACTAGGGTCATGGGGGGCTGGAGTCTATCCCAGCTGACTCAGGGTGAAGACAGGAGACACCCTGGACAGGTCACCAGTCTATCACAGGGCTACACTTAGAGACAGACAACCAAGCACACTCACATTCACACCTACAGACAATTTACAATCACCAATTAACCTCAACATGTTTTTGGACTGTGTGGGAGGAAGCCGGAGAACCCGGAGAGAACCCCACGCTGCACGGGGAGAACATACAGCAGAAAGATCCCGGGTGTCCTCACCAGGATGCGAACCGGCAACCTTCACCAAATCAAATTAACCATGATTCACTGTTGAAAAGCAATAAAAGGGAACTGTTCCAAGGCAGGTAAATACTTTTCATAGACACTGTAGGCCAGGGGTGTCAAACTGCGGTCCTCGAGGGCCACAATCCTGCATGTTTTAGATGTGTCCCTCTTTCAGCACACCTGATTCAAATGATCAGCTCATCATCAAGCTCTGCAGAAGCCTGATAACAATCCTGATCATTTGAATGAGGTGTGTTGGAAGAGGGAAACATCTAAAACATGCAGGATTGCGGCCCTCGAGGACCGGATTTCGACACCCCTGCTGTAGGCTGTAACTTACTTCATCTGCTTTACTATTGTGCTTTTCCCGGATTCCCCCGCACCTGAAAAAGACGGACAGTCGTTAAATAAGGCAGCTGTACCCAGAAGCAGCACATCAGCTGCAGAAATGACGTCTCACAAAAACAAATGCTTTTCATAACTCCTGATCTTAACCTAAATACAGTGTGCAGTATATTTGAGTCAAAATTTCCAAGGAAAAGCTGCCTTGTGATGAATTTCTACAGCACGGCCTGTGGGAGTGTATACAGTCATTAAGTGCTCCCTTGCATGCAGCCAACAGACAGCAGTTTGACTGCATGACGCATCAATCTGTCTTGATTACAGAAAACACACAGACATCAGTGTTATGAGGAGGAATCAGATGCTAACCGCTTACTGTGAAATGTGTAAACGGCAGATTGAAGCCTAAAGAGGTGCCGAAACACAGAGAAAACCATGCAAGTATGTGATGCGATGAGATTTCAATAAACTGGGCTTCTGTTGTGACAAACCGTGAACTGATCTCACGAGTGACGTCAAAGCCTCGCTAAGCCTCCATTACAATAAGCGACACTGATACAGTGATGAGTAGATAGAAGAGGATTTCACACGAGCAACCTTTGCAGTATTTCTGCAACAATCGCACCAAACAGGAAACAGTTGTCGTGCTTCTGGCTGAGACAGTGATTTTCCACTGCAGAGACAATCCCAGATAACGTGCAGTTCTGGGCGTCAGAGAGCAGAGGGGTCATAAAAATACCGCATATGATTCAAAGAGTCTGTCAGCAGTTTTAGCCCCCCCACTCCAAAAAAACAAATACCAACTTGCTCTCTAATCCAAACCCAACTGTACAGAAGCAGGGAGGCTGTTCCCTTTATCTCTCTCTCTCTCTGTATATATATATATATATATATCCTCGTTTCTCTGAATCAGAACATCTGTCAATCAGCACAGAGAGACAAATTCCACATAAAAATATACGACTGTGGGCTTGCTGTGGCTCTTTAATACAAACGATCAGTAAAAAAAATAACTTTCATGTGTCTCCTTATTCTTCTCTTCATGATCCCTCGTTTCTCTTTTAAACAGAATCAGAAGGACTGGAACGTCTGCAACGACGATGGAGCTGATCAATGCGGATCCTCATTAGGACGTTGGCGGGCGCTTCTTTTGGACCAGCCAATAATGAGTTTCGCAGAGAGAGGCTTCATACTATCTCAGCTCTCTGGCCTTTTGAGAAAGCATCTCAAACAACCATTAGGATTCATAAGAGTCGTGGCACAGACTTCTTGAACGCTGCTAATTGTGTTTACTGGAATCCCGGATGTGGGGCCGCCTGACACTGACAGTTATATTTCATGACTTCTGCATCTGTATTTCTCAGATAATTGATTGGTTTGCAACTATATAAATCTTCCAAAAGCTCAGAAAAACCAGCAGTCAGAGGGGCCAACAGGCTTCACAGTGAGACAACACACTTAAAAATAACTTTTCTTGGCTCTGGGGAAGTTCTATAAATATTAAAGCAATAGTTAGACATTTAAGGGAATATACTTATTTGGTTTCCTGCCAAGAGACACATTAATGGTTCATATCTGTCTTTTCAATATATAGCTGGACGCAGCAGCTGCTTAGATCAGGAAACAGTTAGTCTGCTTTAATCCATAACTTTCAAAAGAAAATCCACCTGTCAGCATCTCTAAAGCTCACACATCAACATGTTAAATCTTGTTTGTTTAAATGTGCAAAATGAAGAAGAAATGAAGAAATAATCTCTAACATAACTCATTTTAAAATTACAAATGTGTCATTGAGTCATGAGCGGATTAAACCAAGTATCAGTTGTTATTTAGTGAACGTTTTGAGATACTAAACGTAGGTGTTGTTATCTCTGGACCAAAGCAGGTCAGCTGTCTCCCTGTGCTCAGTCTTCTGGCTCCAGTTTCATATTTACCAAAGCTGTGGTATTGATCTTATCTTACTCTCTGCAAGAATACTTACGATGATATTGTCATAAATATCAAACTACTAAAATATTCTCAAATTCACACCCATGTTTGCTTGTGGTCCATTAAAAACTACTGCAAAAGATGAAACTGTCAGAACATCAAGTTTCACCAAATAGTCAATTCAAATTGACAACCTGTGTCACATGTGGAAATCAGTGATTGGGGTAGTGAATCTATATGCATTTTATAGGTGCAGGACCCTGGTCTACATACTCAGGTGTAACAGGTGGCAGTATGGACCTAAATGTTGGTCATCGCTGCACATGCTTTCAGCTAAACTCTCCAACCCCATCTGTTTCTCGTGCTGCAAAAAGTGACCAAAGTGGGTTTCTTGAGATGCCTTCAGTGTGGACAGTTTTGGACCGTTAGAAATATACTTTGGCTTGTTCTTTGCAGCACATCCAGTCAGAACAAAACATAAATGTGGTCTGGAGAAAAATATTTTTTGGGCTGCAGTACCACAGTTGGCCTATGGGACAAACAGGCAGCACACAGGTTGTCATGCTAAATCAGTGGTTAAAGTCCATGTCCAGGTGAGTACTGGTGCCGGACGTAACAGTCGAACAAGTTTACACAATGCTGACCAGAGCTACGGTTAAACTTCCCAAGAGTTTGCCAAAGACATCTGCGTGCAAGGAAAAATGTGTATCCTCTTTGTAACCTTAAGGGCAGTAGTGCACATGCTCAGCAGCAGCATGCATGCACTATATACATAGATACTGACCTATTGCACATGTGTGACCTCTCAGTGCCGACTAAAAAGGGAGTCAAGGGAGTATAATCAAGGCTTAAGCCTGTCAGTAGCAGGTACTAGAGTTTTAAATCTAGTTTCTGTGACATTCCCACACTACTGCACTGGTAGCAATGTGTCTTTCATTAAGTGGCAATGATTGGTTTGCCAAAGCTGAAGAGCAAAGCAACCAGAGATGCAGTGATTAGGAATATGGTGAGATCAGTAGCAGGGGAAAAAAAAAAAAACTAGGTGGGGTTTGAGAAGTATTTCTGATGCTTCATATGAGAAAATTAAAAAAGAAAAAAGATTACAGTCTGAAAAAAGGAAGCAGTCGAGATTGACACTCATGTATCATGTCAACACTGTTTGTATGATTCTCCTCCCTGCTAAAAGGGGAAGATGGAAGTTCCACACTGCTAATTTAATAAAAGTGGCATGAAAGCATGTGCATACATTAAACATTACATGTCAAACTGGTGAGAACTCATTTCCATAAACATCTGGGCTGAGTTTTCACTGGCAAGTCTTTTTTTTTTTTTTTGGCTTAATGTAATTATCACAAACCACAGGATGAATACGTCTTAAGGGCCTGGAATTTAAAAAAACGGATGACTGCTCCTTTTTTTTTAAAGCAGTCTCAGTGGAAGCATATTTCAAAATGAGGATAGACTGTCTTAACGTTGTTGATTGCTCAATAGTCGAGACATTTCTCTTGCCAGCCAGGAATCCTTAGCAGATGAACTTTGTCAAGTAGGCTTACAGTAGAGTGATGTGTTGCGATGGCCGGACTACAAGAATTAAATCCATGAATTCTTTGGTTAAGCTGTCAGCAGCAGAGGAGATTTACACTCGTCACACAGACAGAGAGGAGAGGACAAATTGCGTTGATCCCAATCCTCGGTGCTGTCGGCCACCAGTTCTCTCATTCATGGCATTTTTTGGCTGAATATCAACCGTGGCCTGCAGCCAGTTCACAAACCAACTCTGCACAGGCATTCACAGGCGTCCAAACCCATGCAGGAGTCAGACTCCAAACCAAGCCTCATTTAACAAGAATCTCAAACGCAGATTTTTTATGAATCACTGTTTGTGGTCAAATAGGAGACCATTTTCATTGGAAGAGTGCACTGGCTCTAAAGCTTTGTGGTTTTGAATAAAGAACAGCAGCCGCACTCCTCTTTGTTTTTCCCCTATAACTCTCCTGTTCCAGCGCAGACGGAGAAGGAAGGACAGTGCCTGGAAAAATCTGTGTGGTCAGAATTCAGAAATGAATGTTTCCATACAATAAGATCTCAGTCTGCATTGTAGTCCTGCACCACCACGTTTATCTGCTTGACTCATACGATCCTCCTGCATCAGTTACCTGCTATTGGGATCTGTGTGAACCCAATAACCCCTTAACTATGACTTCATGGGAAATTCATCTAAACCAGCTCATTTGCCACACAACAATCAATTAAAAAAAAAAACCCAGTGGAAACATCATAGTTGCAGCAAGTGGATCGGAAATGACTGTGTGGAGATTTACTGGCACAGTTCTTGTCTGCCTTATCATCAAGATCAAGACTCAAGGAGAAAATGAAAATCCTTGCAAGCATAAAAAAGCTGCCTTTCATTGTGAGAAAAATGTGTCTATCAAGACCGTGATCAGGAACAACAAGGAAAAAGCAGAAAAACCGTTAAAGAGCAAACGTCTCACGTAACTGGAGATTTGCAAAGCATGCCATGGAATCATTTTAATCTAAGCTGTGAACGTTGTTACTGTGGTTTTCTGTGAGTAGTCAATTTTAAACTGAGATTTCTGTGGAAGAATAATTTCGAATCTCTCCGCTGAAGATTCAGGGTCGTCCAAACTAAACGCAGATGCTGTCTTAAACATGCTTTAGCTGATTCATGTCCTCTAATTCATATGTTCCTTTGACAGACCTTGACTGATGCATGAGCTTCAGGCTAACAAACACACCCCGCTGCTGATAAATGTTTGTCATGTGGATTTTTCACAATCAATAAATACAGTGTACCTAATGGAGGAGCAGCCCTCTGGACATGCATTCAGTGCAATCTGCTGCAGTGTCTTCAGGAAGTCCTGCTGTATGAATGAATATATTGTTTTAACTATATCTGTACTTGCATCTAATTACGTACTTGGTACTGTCATTGAGTCTGGCAACATGTTTCGGGCCCGCTTTAATCAGATTATATGAGATAATGCTATGATGGAAATAAAAACACTTTAGGGAGAGCTCAGCATGCGGAAATTTTCTGGTCAGTTGATGCAGTTTATTGTCAGCACCTGGTTTGAGTCGCCTGTATTTTAAA